CTGTCAGTTTAAGAAAATTTTTTGAAGGATGGCATCGTATAGGAGATGGAAATAAAAGGATTATTGTAAAGCGCCCAAAAAAAGCGCGACTATTTACATTAAGTGATGAAAATATTAAAGTTATTGAAGAATATGGGGTTCAATTTGATATAGAATAAATTTGATATAAAAACTATTCCAAATAATATCTTATTTATTTCTTTAATATAATATTGAGTTATGTTGTTCTATTGTCTTGTTAATCATATTGATTTTATTGTTTAATGTTAAATCATTTTAATTTTAACGTTGATTTTAATTTTACTTTTAATGTTGATAGTTTTGTCAATTTACTTTAAAATATAAATAATTGTTTTTTAAACAATTATGGAGATTACTTGATATCAACACAACATAAATAGTTAAATAATTTATTTATACTTAGGATATTAACACAACATAAATAGCTAAATAATTTATTTATATTTAGAGAAATCATCTGGTACAACAAAAACAGAAAAATCTAAAGCAATAAATCTGGGAGAATATAACATATATTCCAAATAATAGTTAATCATGGACAGTTGATAAATATATAATTTACAGTATGTAAAAAAAAAGAAGAATTATACCTCATGACATGAGTGTATGGAATAAATAATTAATGAATTTTTTCTAGTGGAAAAATAAAAAATTCACATAACCTTTGTTTTTAAAGTGCTTCAGTAAAGGTTTCACTGCTTTTTTGTTCATTACTCTGGTAATTTAGTTTTGATTCCCAAATTTCATATTCTCTAGCTGCTATTTTCTTTCTTTTTTTCTAAAATATTAATAAAGTAAAAACACTAAAGCCAAATGATTATGTATACCAATTTTAGTAATTGTTATTCTTTTATTATTTAATTTATAAGAATAAAGAATAATAAAAGGATGATGTCTGCTATTCATTTAATTATTCATTATTTAGACAAACATAAGAATTTATAACAATTCCGTCGCAATTCCAGGTTTCTTGCTATAAATCAAAGATAATTTCTTTTATCGTCTTTTCACTACTTTTTTTCATTTTCTTTGGATGGATTTATTCGTCTTCAGTTTTCTTTTTGCTATTCATATAACAATAATTAAATGTCTAATAATAAATAATGTATTATTTTATTATTTGTAAGTAAAAAAAATTATAGTTTTAGATTTATTTGTACTTTTAATAATTCACAAATAATAAATGATTATAATTATGGTCAAAGAGTACAATGTTATTTAATTATTATTTCCTGATAAAATTTTAATTAGTTCTCAAATTCTTTTAATGAAAAATATATTAATAGTTTCTGATGATAATTATTCTTTCATGAAGAACAAACAAAATGAATGCATGTTATTATCTCATAAAAAAAAGAATTGATGCTACTTTAAATCATTCTTGGTAAAATTTTGACAACCTCATACTCTTCAACTGAAAATAAATATTCATGAGAAACATTTGAAAAGTGAACTTTTGGACTAATAAATTCATCTGAACGAATTGGTTTAGGATATGTTAAACCAAACATGCAAAAACATTTTTTTTCAGTTTTCAAATTGCCTCTTAAATGTAAAACAGATCCAAAACCCAACCATGAATGCTTCAATACGACCCTACTTAAAATGGAATTTTCCATATTTGCAGTTTTCAATGAAAATGCAAAACAATCTTGAGACATTTTCCATTGATTATTATTATTATCCCACTCAAGGGGATTATACCCTCCCAAAATTTCTCCTGTACCTTCCACTTTCAAAATAATGACCGTATTTAATGCTTTATCACAAATATTATAAATAGTTTTGACATCAAATCCATCTCTAGATCCTCTAACAAGCAATTCAAATACATATGGATTATTTCCAATATAAGGGGTCCCTTTTTTATCAATCCATGATGAAATTTCAAGAGCATGTTCATTAGTGATAATATTAGAAGGCAATGGAGTTGATGTGTTTCCAATTGGAAGTGTTGTATTTAAAATATTTCGAGGTGGTAAGACAATCGAAGAAATCGGTTTGGTTGGTATAACAAATTTAGTATTAATATCTAAAAAAAGTTGTTGTTCAAGAAGTTGATGGTATGGATAAATCTTTTCCATAAAATCTTCTCCAGAAATGCTAAAATATCTAATGTGTGGGAGACATTGCTTCAAAGTTTCTTTCAAGGTTAAGAAATTCTCACTTGTCCATTTATCGAGGTTAGAGGGCAAATTAGGATTTTTAGCTTTTCCCCATCGAATTATATATTCCCAAATTTTCTCTTCGCCTAGTTGTAAATCATCTCGTTTAAGAATAGTTATTAATGCATCTTCAGGGAAAGAATGAAAATTTTCAGACTCAAAGATAGTATTGGGATATTTGGCAATGATAGCATTACAGATGTCTTGAATAATTTCGAGGTTTTTGACTTGATAACTAGTTCGATAAATTTGGGAAAATTTTAGGCTTAACCAAGAAGCACAATTGTTGATAAGATGAGTTTGGAAGTGTTCAATTAATTCATATAATTCAAGTTCATTGGAAGCAATCAAGAGGTCAAAAATGACCGAATTTTCCAATTTTTCCAATGTAAATTTTCCACCATAAATATATCTAAATAATAAATAAATATAAATTATCATTAAATAAATCGATCATTTTCCTTTTCTAAAAGAAATATTTAAACTTACTTAATAATAACATCAAATACTTTAACAGAAATATTCGGTAATTTTAAGACTTTGACATGATCGTCGTTGAAAGTAATTTCGTCAAATTTCTAAGGACTACGGGATTGCAAAATAATTGAATGAACTTTATAAATATTGACAAGAAGGACCTCTTTACCAACTTTAATTGAGACATCATAGTTAACACCACTTTCAAGAAGTTGGGTAAGATCATTTGATAAACGGTCATAAAATTGAGTAGTCATTTTTTAACATTAACAATACGTATAAGAATAAAAAAAAATTTGGTAAAATATAGAAATTTTAATCATTATATTGTTTGCGTATCAATAAATGATGAGACTCGTGATAATCCTTTTGCATTGAGAATATAAATATGATTCGTCGGCCATGCTAGTAGCGAATGCATGTCTCAAACTTATCTCTAAAGTTATTTGATTTACACGGTCAAGACAACTTTTGCAATATTCAAACTATTTTCCGATTGAGTACACCTAGAACACGGTCTAAAACCTGTGAGCTTACGTCTAAACTCCTGTGAGAATCTGCGGATGCTTCAAATGCTGCATATAATAATAAAGAAGTAAGATTTTTTGTGTTCGTAACTTGATAGTTATAATTATATTTGACATGCACATAATGAGTATATGAACTCGAAGTGTAACAGATAGGTCTTCTGGGTTTGTCTGATAGAGATCAACTAATGTCTTGCTAAGCATTTGATGTAACTCATTATTATTACCACACAGTCCACACCGTATTCCAATTCCTGGATTTATCGTCATAACTATATTAAGAAAAATTAATATCATGAGAAAATTATTATATATTATATCATGTAAAGACTCTAAAATGACGGGAAGAATATTAAATATATTAATTGCGGAAAGGTATGATGTATTGAAATGTTGCCCTTAGATTCTGAAGTATATTTAGACTTCATATTGTTTTAATAAATAGATTGCAAAGGAGATCTCCGAACTAAAACAGGATTGGATTTTGTTGTCATAGATATGACATACCACATCGTCGCCACAAACAGGAGCCGCTCGATGAGCATTATTGATCCAAAGGAATAGAAGATTGCAGCTTTATTATTAGGAGCTAAACCTTCTGAAGCACTGATTTCGCGGGCATTTATCAACGATAATGATGTCCGTCTGAAATGAGAACATTCAGAGACGAAGCAGAAAACATATAACTAAAAAAATTTCGTCAGGAACCAGTCGCGGAGAAGTCTATTCGTTCCTTTAAAGACGAAGACGAAATACTGTGCAAGATTTTGGAAAGAAATTGCCATTACGGAATACTTGCGTGATTCGCCACATATCCAAATTGTAAATCTCCTAATCTGTTAATGCATTTGAATTCGTTTGAATTTATTAAGTCGTGGTGTTAGCGTAAAGAATGGTTGCTTTTACAGTTACTATGACTGGGCTGAGAATGGTGACTTGAATAGCTACTTAACAGATAAGAAACATTCAAATCTTGACAGGGAATGCACTCTCTTCTGATGAGTACCATATGATAGCAAAGAAGCGATGACACAAGAAAAGCTTCTTAACAATCCAACACCACGATAAGTGAGGAGGAGGAGTTAGAATGTGTTTGATCGAGTATAATTATTTTTGACTAGGAAGGCTAAGCAAGGTAACATGGAAGGTCTTATAATAAGCGAAGGTAAATATTAATAGCAATACCCAAAATGAAAAAGTGCTACTTATTAGATTCTCTACATCGCTCCTCAAATTAGCTCCCAACAATAAGCTGTCCACTAAAAAAGTTAAAATAATGATGATAAGAAGGAATCAAATATGAAGAAACTGTTATCTGTCGAAACGTACAGATAATTTTCACGATTTATATCTTGTAATCAATGAGGCTAAAGAGTAGAGCGTGAGTGTAAATCAAGTTGTGATTAAGTGTTACTACGATTCTGGAAAGTGCTTGAGGGTAGATATGATTATTACAAGAAAATAATCCAAGCGTACAGATTTAATAAAGAGTTGGGCAACAACTCTCCGACTCATTTAGTGAGTCTTCACTATGGAGAGCTCAGAAGAATTACGATTTATTCAGTAAAATTGGGGAGAGTAGGATCCAATCTTTCACGGCTTCGTCAATTGAAATCTCATTTAGGTTCTCCTGCAGCTCAAGGTAAGTAACTTCTTGTTGTTCAGCATAATACTTTTGTTAAAATTAATAAATTAATTGGTTTATTCTCAACGTTAAAAAACATTTAAAAAACGTTAAAAACGTTAAAATAACGTGGAATATAAAAATGAAGATGATTTGCTGCCTCATCATTTAAGTCTACATTATAACCTACAAATTCATTCTTCTATTTAGTATTTTCTCAGGATCAATAAGTTCTACAAAATTTGCTATAAAATTAATTTATTAATATTTTGAAAATAAAAGGATCAAAGAATAAACAAACACATTCTTTTTCTTTAAAGTTACCTGGGAATAATCTACTACGTGCACCTTCCTTAGTAGTATCATACACTTTAATAATGACCCTAATTAATTCCCTTTCTAATGTTAATTCATTACTATCAACTAATTATTTAAATAATTAAATTAAATTGGAGTTTAATTAGAGTAGAATGATCAAGGTAATGTTATGGAATTAATAAATACCTACATCATAGCCAAAAATAGCACAAGCCCAAAGGTTTCAGCTGCCTATGGATAATTTATTTTAAAAGGGTGTTTTTATGTAACTGGTAAATATACATGCCTGATATGCTCCTGCTTTTAAGCGATGAGTTTCCTCTTTTGCCTATAATATATCAAATATTTTAAATATTTTAATTTAATCAAAAAATTTATGGAAAATACAAATGGGTGCGGTATAAAAACATACTTTTCTTTTTTGATATTCTCATTTTGTTTTTCATCTTCTCTTTCTTATCATTCTTGTTCATATGCATCTCATTCTCTTATTTGTGTTCTCGTCTCGCTCGATGATGGATGATCGATGATGAACATGATCATCAATTTTTAGAGTTTTAATTCATAAAGAAAAGGAAACATATACAATACCTTGCAATTTCATTAGTTAAATAAAAAGGAAGGAATTATTTTTATTCTTATTTAAAAATATATAAAAATTGAATAACGATTCCATTTGATCAATTAAAAACGATGAACGAATTTTTGAAACCGTGGTGAATCATGATTTTCGTAGAATGGTAATTATTATGTAATTATAAAATTTCTTTTTAAAGATAATGAAATGAAATAAATTTTATTTCTTTCGAGAATCAACTTCGAAATTGTTTAAATTAATAGTTCATAGTTATTTTAGATTCGAATTAATAATTCCTTACCACGAATAAAATTTGATGAATTAATTATAGCATGCATACATAATTATATTTAATAATATATTAAGTATTTTTGGCATTCATTTAATTTTTTCTATTTATTATATATTTTTTCAATAAAAAACACCTCTTCCTAGTATTGGATCAATAATGAATTCTTATGTAATTTAAATTCTCTCCAATATGGATAGAAATCATGACTATTGAATGAGATTACATTTGGCTAAAGTATAAATTCTTGAATGAAGAAACCGCAACTAAGTTCTTTTATTGAGATTCATTTATATTGACTAAAAAAATTTTTGGTGATAAAGATAAAGAAATACATTCTCATTTATTTGCATGTAACGTCGATCATTATTGAAAAAAAATTCCGATAAGAAATTTATTTCTTTTCTCGTCAGTTTGTGCTTTTTAACCGGAGTGAAATTTCCCTTGGGTGTAAATGTGATAAATAATATTTCAAATTCTCTGTACTAAAAATATATAATAAAAGTCGTGATGATGCTAATATGTAACAACAAGCACGTAACACAAACCTTTAAAAGATTTTAATAAATTATTATAATTAAACCCAATAATTTTCTTGCAATAAGATTACGAGGAGAAAGTCATCAAAAGTTAGAAAAGTATAACGAAGCATTACACGGTCTGTGCAGAACGATAGGGAAAGTTACATCAATCAGTCTCAAATTTATTACACAACAAAATATTTCCTCGATCAGGATCTAAACTCACGATTTATGAAGCTACGTGTAATATCTGAGGGTACTATGAGCAAGTGGAGTAAAAGTATCTTTATTACCGCTTGTACACCACCAAAACTGGTGTAGACTTCTTGATGTAACTTGCCAAGAATATATAAAAATAGTTTATTATCACTGTTACTACCTGGAAGAGCAAGCTTTACTAAATTATAGTGGTTTGGCTTGGTAGTGAACTTGTGTTGGTTAAATTATGTGAGTGATTATAAATATTAAGATAAAATATAAAGTTAATTTATCTAAATAATTAACCAACTAATATCAATAACTATAAATTAATCAATAACTAAAATACTAATACTAAATCAATGATCAAATCAAAATAAAATAACTATAAATTAAAATCAATCAAAAAAATCAATAAATCAAAATAAAAGAACAAAAGGTGTGTTTGGGTATACAGGGTTCCTTTGGTTATTTCAGCAACACTTTAAGACAAAAGTATAAAGTAATTGTTATTTTTATTAAAATAAAAGAAAAAGGAATTGTATGAACTTTACAAACTGACTTGGACAAGGTAATTTCTCTTGTCCTTATATGCATGTCCCTTTCTAAGGTACAGGACTTTAATTAAGGCACTCAACCTCTTTTAGAGTCCAGGGATAATCGAACCTCTATTCAGGCACTGTGCCTTCTTTAAAGTGTTCTTGATTAACCAAACTGAGTACCTTAATTAGGGTGTAAGAAGATCAGGACTCTAACTGAGGTACTTAGGGTCCTCTTTGAAAATCAATTAACCTTTTCTATCTTAGTTATTTTAAAGTTATATCTTAGAATAGTAATAATAATTATTAACTACTTGTACAAAATAGAATAACTATATAAATATATGTCAATTCTAAAACTAATACAATAACTACTTAGTAATAATAAATAATGAATAAATAAATAATAATAAATAATAAAATATGACAAGAAAGAATAAAAAAAATCAATAATAAATAAGAAGGAAAAAAACTTCTAACATCACTTTATTAAAGTTTAGCCTAAGGATATAACAATAGCGATATATTACTGCTTTGGCGTATCTTATCGCTTTGCTAGTCCCGCGACTATATTATTTATTATTATTAAAATTATTACGAAAATAAAACTAAAAACTAAAAATGTTCAAGATAAAGAAAAATAATAATAATAAAACTAAAACTAAGGTTGTTCGAAATATCAATAAAAATGTTTTTATTTTGGTTCTTGTTCTTTTTTGGCAAAAAGGAATCTCCTCCTTTTTTTTCTTCTTCCGCAGTTATCTTATATATTTAACTTCATCCTTAATTATCCATAATACTGGAGGACGAAAAAACAGTTATCTTGGATGAAGGATGAAGCACAAAGATAATTCATCCAAATAGTGACACACATATCATCTCATATCATCTCCCGTGATTTCGGTCAATTTCGTGCCTCCTCAGTATTGAAGAAAGAACCAAACAATGCTCTTGCATTAAGGCCACGAGAGGAAACCTATAAAAATTAGAAAAGTTTTATGAAGCATCTATGGATTTATTAAAGCACTGAAAAAAGATCCAAACAATGATCTTGCATTACGATCACGGGGTGAAACTTATCTAAAATTTTTAGTATTAGAACCCGATAATTATCTTGCATTAAGATTACGAGAAGAAACTTATCAAAAGTTACAAAAGTATAATGAAGCATTAATAGATTTTAATAATTTATTAAAAATTGAACCCAATAATTATCTTGATTAAAATTGCGAGGAGAAGCTTATCAAAGTTAGAAAAGTATAGTGAAGCATCAACAGATTTTAATAAATTATTAGAATTAAAACGCAATAATTATCTTGTATTGAGATTACGAGAAACTTATCAAAAATTAGAAAAGTATAATGAAGCATTAAATAATACTAAGATCACGAGGTGAAACTTATCTAAAGTTAAAAATATATAATACAGCATTAACAGATTTTAATAAATTTTTAGTATTAGAACCCAATAATTATCTTGCATTGAGGTTACGAGGAGAAACGTATCAAAAAGTTTGAAAAGTATAATGAAGAATCAATAGATTTGAGTAAAGTATTGAAAAAAGAAACAAACAATGCTCTTGCATTAAGATCACGAGGGGAAACTTATCTAAAGCTAAAAAAGTATAATGATGCATTAATAGATTTTAATAATTTATTAAAAATTGAGCCAAATGATGCTCCTATGTTAAGGTTACGAGGAGGAATTATCAAAAGTTTAAAAAGCCTAATGAAGCATTAACAGATTTTAATAAATTATCATAATTAGAACCAAATAATACTCTTGAATTAAGATTACGAGGAGAAACCAATCGAAAATTAAAAAAAACTACAATGAAGCATTAATAAATTTTAATAAATCTTTAGAAATTCAACCAAATAATCGAGATTTACATGAAGAAATTATTGAAAAGTATAATGAAATATTTGAAATAGAATCATAAAATGTTCTTGCATTAAGGTTACGAGGGGGATCTTATCTAAAGCTAGAAAAATATAATGAAGCATTACCAGATTTTAATAATCTATTAAAAATTGAACCAGATAATGCTCTTACTTTAAGGTTACGAGGAGAAACTTATCTAAAGTTAAAAAAGTATAATGAAGCATTAACAGATTTTAATAAATTATTAGAGTCAGAACCCAATAATTATCTTGCATTAAGATTACGGGGAGAAACTTATCAAAAATTAGAAAAGTTTAATGAAGCATCATCAGATTTTAATAAAACTTTAACAAATTTTAATAAAGCATTCAAAAAAGAACCAAACAACGCTCACGGGGGAAACTTATCTAAAGTTAAAAAGTATAATGAAGCATTAACTGATCTTAATTAATTATTAGAATTAGATCTTGATAATTATCTTACGAGAAGCTTATACGTTAGAAAAGAAAAATAAAGCATTACATCAATGTATTTATTAAAGTATTGAAAAAAGAACCAAACCGTTCTCAACGAATTTTAATAAAGTATTAAAAATGGAACCAAATAATTATCTTGCATTAAAGTTACGAGGGGAATTTAGATATATTTGTGGTAGAAATTTTCATTGGAAAAATTGGTCATTCTCTAATAAAATCATTATTTTTATATATGGAATTAAAATTTATCAAAATGCCATTTTATTTTATTTTCGAGTTGGAATTTTTTTTTTTTTTGAATTTGAACTTGGACATTTAAATTTTAACACTATATAATTTTTAGTACATTTAGTGATCACAATATTTATTGTTGGAAATAAAGTTACTTAAAACTTCAAATTCTGATCATATTCTCATCTAAAATTAATTTAATTAATAAATTCGATTCTTTAATTAACTTGATTTAATATGTATATTTCGTTAATTATCAAAATTAATTTGAACATTAACATAATATAATCTCTAAACGACAATTAATATTTATTGATTTGAATGAATTAAACTCTATATTCTCGATCATATTTTTCTTTAAATAATTATTAAAATATAAATTGATTTATTAGAACAAATTTCACAGTGTTATTAAATTTATATAAAATTGGACTGAATTATAAAAAATGCATCATACATCGGTAGTGATATGATAATAATATTCATCAAATTAATTTGTTATTGATCATAATTTGCTCATTATGGAATGCAGTAATAACTTTTTGATGCGTATATCGAGATTGTAATTTTCTTGTGTAAACCAATTCATGTTCTACAATATATAACGATTCCTTTTCCATGTTATTTAGTTTGGAAGCAAATTTTATGCATCCGACTAAGTTTGCTAACATAGAGCGATTTTCAATGAAAAATTATTAGCCAATGTAATAGCAAAAAAAAAAACTGGTTAGCAAAACTTTCTTGAAATTGACAGTTGCCTTATTTTTTTTTCCTTGAGTATTGCCCAAACTAGAAAACCAATTTAGTATATCATCAGAATCTTGTCACAGATCTTAAGGAAGGTAATTCATCTCTCAAAAGTCAAGGTAACAAACAATCATGAAAATGGAACATTTTATTTAGATTGTACATTATATTATATATGCGATTCACCATTTTTGCAAATGAATAATTCATATAACTTGTAAATTTTTGAATTAATATTTTATATATTATTAAAAGGGTCGATAATAAATAATATTTAGTTTCATTATATAAATTGATATTCAAATATAATTCAAGTAATTTAAAAATCATTCCAATCAATATTGCTAAGATCTAAACTTAAATTTTGTAAAGGAGGTAAAAGAGGTAAAGGTTTGCTTATAAGAGATGCCTCAGAATGAATAGGCTCATCTAATGATAATTCTGATAATTTAGAATCTTCATTTTGTATTTCTTGATCTGCATTTAAAAACTTAAGTGAATTTTCTGTTTGTCCACTAAATGCACAAAATTTCAATTCTTTGATCCATTTACTTAATATGTCATAAATAATTTCAACACTAGGACGTTCGGACGGATCTTTGTGCCAACACTTTTTCATCAATTCTACATAGCATTGAGGTGTGTCTTTTTTAATTTTTGGTCGAAGTCCTTCAAGAATTTCTAAAGTTAATTCTATATCATATGCTCTATTAGAAAATGGTATCTTTCCTGTCGATATTACCCACATAATGATTCCAACACTGTATATATCAGAAGCTTGAGTATATGGACTTTCATTCAATATCTCTGGTGCAATATATGGTAATACACCATATCTTGTAGATGATGAAATTTTGTCTACAGGTCTACAAATTCCTAAATCTCCTAATCTAATGAATTTTATATTATCAAATGCATCAGTAATCATTAGATTACCAGGATGAAGATCACCATGAATATATTCTTTATCATGAATAACTTTTAATCCTGAGATAAAAGACTTTAATAACCATAATCGTTCAGACCATGGTAATGCTTTATTTTGTTGAAGATAATTTCTTAAATTTCCATTTTTCATATATCGCAAAACTATCGCACATTCCATAGTCATTGGATTTCGTGTTACACCTAAAATTGGCAAAATATATCTGGAATGACAGCAGAAATTTGCTGTCAACTATGTTTGAAAATATACAAAGTTTTAAAATAATTATATTTATCTGTATAATACAAAAATATTTTGATATATTAATATATTTTAATATTTACCTCTTCTAAAAATTTAATGTCAATTTCTTTTGAATTTTTAAATTTTTTCAAAACTACTTGGTTGAAACTATAGATTTCAAATAACTCTTCAGGCATATCCTTCCATTCTGCTTTCCAAACAGTGCCAAATCCTCCTTCATCTAAATATTCAATATCTTTTAATTCACTATAATCTATCCATCGCCAAATTACACATTCATCATCAATTTCATCTAATTCTGTCATTTGAATGATTGTATTAACAAAAGCATTAACATTCCCAACAAAAAAGAATAGCATATGGATAAGTTCTATACTTTTGCAATTTTTACATACATTTTTTCTTATATTTAAATTTCCACAATTATGACATCTACCAAAATCTTGAAAATACTTTTTGCAGATTTCAATACAACCATTTGTTTGCCAACAAATACAACAGTTATGGTTATTAACATTTAAATCTTCAATACTGTTTAAATTTTTAATGGATGATTTAGAAAGTGTTAAACTAATATCTGTTCTATTTTTTAATTTATTTTGACATTTTTTAATTGTTGAGACTTTAAATTCTTCTCTAAAGTAAGATTCAATCAAATGTTTGCTAAGATCATTTCCTTCTGCTGATTTCAAGTACCACTGAAATGCTTTCTCATCATCTTTTGTGGTTCCGATTCCATTATCATAACAATATCCAATATTAAACTGTCCAACACTATCTCCTCCTTCAGCTGATTTCAAGTACCACTGAAATGCTTTCTCTTCATCTTTTGTTGTTCCAATTCCACAGTAATAACAAGTTCCAAGACTTATCTGTCCTTTACTATTCCCACCTTCAGCAGATTTCAAGTACCACTGAAATGCTTTCTTTTCATCTTTTGTTGTTCTGATCCCATTCTGATAACAAAATCCAAGAATAAACTGTCCTTCACTATTCCCACCTTCAGCTGATTTTAAGTACCACTGAAATGCTTTCTCTCCATCTTTTGTTGTTCCAATTCCATTATCACAACAATATCCAAGATTTAGCAGTCCATTATTATTCCCTCCTTCAGCTGATTTCAAGTACCACTGGAATGCTTTCTTTTCATCTTTTGTTGTACCAATTCCATTCTGATAACAAAATCCAAGATTATTCTGTCCATCAACATTCAAACCTTCAGCTGATTTCAAGTACCACTGAAATGCTTTCTTTTCATCTTTTGTTGTTCCGATTCCATTATTATAACAATTTGCAATATTAAACTGTCCATTACTATTTCCACCTTCAGCCGATTTCAAGTACCACTGAAATGCTTTCTCTTCATCTTTTGTGGTTCCAATTCCATTATCATAACAATATCCAAGAATAAACTGTCCTTTAATATTCCCACCTTCAGCTGATTTCAAATGCCACTGAAATGCCTTCTCTTCATCTTTTGTGGTTTCTATTCCATTCTGATAATGATATCCAATCATAAGTTGACCATTACTATTCCCACCTTCAGCTGATTTCAAGAACCATTGAAATGCTTTCTTTTCATCTTTTATTGTTCCAATTCCAGTTTTATAACAAAATCCAAGAATACACTGCCCATTACTATTCCCTCCTTCAGCTGATTTCAAGTACCATTGGAATGCTTTCTTTTCATCTTTTGTAATGCCAATTCCATTCGCATAAAAATTTCCAAGATTAAATTGTCCATTACTATTTCCTCCTTCAGCTAATTTCAAGAACCACTGGAATGCTTTCTTTTCATCTTTTGTTGTACCAATTCCATTCTGATAACAATATCCAAGATTATATTGTCCATCACTATCTCCAACTTCAGCTGACTTTAAGTACCACTGAAATGCTTTCTCTTCATCCTTTGTGGTTCCAATTCCATTCAGAAAACAATTTCCAAGATTACACTGTCCTTTACTATTCCCACCTTCAGCAGATTTCATGTACCACTGAAATGCTTTATCTTCATCTTTTGTGATTCCTATTCCATTATCATAACAAGTTCCAAGAATAAACTGTCCAGAATTATTCCCTCCTTCAGCTGATTTCGTATACCACTGAAATGCTTTCTCATCATCTTTTGTAGTTCCGATTCCATTTTCATAACATTTACCAAGATTAAACTGTCCATTACTATTCCCACCTTCAGCTGATTTCATGTACCACTGAAATGCTTTCTCTTCATCTTTTGTTGTTCCAATTACATAGTAATAACAAGTTCCAAGGCTAAACTGCCCATCACTATCCCCTCCTTCAGCTGATTTCAAATACCACTGAAATGCTTTCTCTTCATCTTTTGTTGTTCCGATTCCATAGTAATAACATTTACCAAGATTAAATTGTCCTTTACTATTCCCTCCTTCAGCTGATTTCAAGTACCACTGAAATGCTTTCTCTTCATCTTTTGTTGTACCAATTCCATTCTGATAACGACGCCCAATAATAAACTGTCCATCACTATTTCCTCCTTCAGCTGATTTCAAATACCACTGAAATGCTTCATTTTCATCTTCAACTGAATTCAATGAATTCGATACGTTCCCCATTTACGCAGAGAATAAAAGAATAAAATTCGAAATTAAATATTTTTATATAAATTCGAGTAGTAAACAAAGACTATGTAATTATTAGTTAAAATTTACAATTCTTACATGACACATTAAGTCGTTTATAAATATTTTAAATCTTGTCGATCATTGTTTGCTAATTTCTAAAATTGTTTTGTCTTAGTCTTAAAATATTCTACTTACTGATTTCTAAAATCGATTCGTCATGGAAAATTCATCTTTCCGCATTGCAGGTTTATTATTTTCTATAATAAGTAATATTTAAAAATTAATATAAACATTTTGTATAACCAATATGCATTAATTACACTGTTCTCTTTAGAAAAAGAATGTTCTTAGAAATTTTTTTGATCGTCACGTAACTGCAGCTAACTATATATAGGAAATTATTTATAATAGATTTCCGTTTTTTTCTTCTTTCGAAAATTGATTCCTACTTCCAAACTTGTGCAATTTCCATATAGTACTTTCAAACTTGCGCAATTTCCATGTTAGACTTCTTCATTGGAGATTTTTTAAATCTATTTTAAGCATTGAGGAAAATGATTTTCATAAGCTAAACTAAAAAAACTGCGTATTTCATTATGGTTGCATGATTAAAAATATAAAGGAATTAAATACTACACTTTCTCCTAAATGGACCTTCTAATACGAAATTTTGTGGAAGCATAAAAACATGTAAAAAAGGAATTTTATAATGTGGTGGCGACAGATATGAAAATTGTTCAGATAATCCTTATTTTGTTTTAATTAACAATATATTACAAACTTATATTAATTCCAATTCAATATTTATCAAGTTGTAACTTTAATGAGTCTATTTTGGCATTTGATAATTTAATATGGTTAATTTAATAAATTATTATGAGTCTTTCATTCTCATATTAGCATATGCTTTCATATCAATTATTTAATAATTATAAAAATATAGATATTTAATATATGTCACTTTTTCTTTAATTTTCTGTGTCCAACACCTATTCCCTCACATCAAATTACCTGAAAAAAATTGGTGTGAATATATACAAAAAATTATTGCAAAATGTCGAGAGAGAAAAAAAATAGATATGAAAAAAAAAAGATAAAAAAAATTAAATTATAGTCTTCAATGTTGCTCCATATGAGTTTTTCTGATGTCATATAACTTGATCTGGTCTTAAGAACTTTTTGTTACAGGTTCCAACTGGACAATCAAATTGATGTTCACCGGCATGAACATGCATATTTAAAATAATTAAAAAATATCAAAATTAATATAAATATAGAAATCTATATCTCTCTCACATTTTGAAAAGAAAAACAAGAAAGACATGATATATAAATTAATAACCTACATGTTTGGTGATTTCGCAAAATATTTAATACATCTTTCGAATTTATATTTAAATTGATTTTCACCTAAGAAATTTTAAATTATTATTAACACTTTCTTCTAAGGTATTTTTATTTGCCAGAAAGATAAATTACCTGTACGTGCTCGTAAATGTATGGTAAGTGTCCAGAAATCAAAAAGGTTATTATTACGTTCAGGTTGTAAACATTTAAATGTCTTAGTTCGCGTATTTTGGATCATTGTATTACAAAAAGTACATTGATAAGGTTTATCACCTACCAAAAAAAAAAGATGGAAAGAAAAAAAATCATTTAATGATGATAAAAGAAAAAATTCAAATGAATAATTATTTTATTTTTTTACCTGAGTTTATACATTTCTCATGACTTTTTGACGAAGTTAAATGGTCATCCTTCTCGATTACACCTTTCCCAATGACATATGCTGACTTCAATCACCTTCTGTTTATTCTTCAAACGTTAGAAATCTTAAATGACATACTTGCCATTTACAACTATGATCCTGTGTCCTCAAATGATCTAAGCACAAATGTTCCTCTTCTTTGGTATATGAATCCCATCAACATAAATTTCCTTTACTACGACCTGCCACATAGGATTTTGAAAGATGAGATATTAATTCATCAATGTTTAAAAATGTGACTCAAATCATCCTGGTGCATTCTCAACACTTGTATCATCAAGTAGGTAGTGATTTTGTTCGAAAGTTGTTGAAGACGAAGATAAAGTTGTAGTGAAGTGATTAAACGTCATTCCGAAACATTCTCAACATTTGTATCTATGGGTGGTTGAAAGAAACTTACAATATAATTCGATGAATCATTTTGTAACTGTTGCATCAATTTCTAATGACGTTCTAATTGATTTTGAAAATTCTCATGAGGTGGATGTAATGAAGATGGTTGATAAGAAATATATGAACCATCAGAAATGATTCATCATGAAATTCGAACTGAGTATCATGAAGATAAATCTGTTGTATTTTCCAACATGCGATTATTATTATTATTATTATCATTATCAATTGTTCGATTCTACTGATAAGCTCTATAGACCAAGTTTAATAAACTTAAGAACAGGATATACAACTACTTCAGAACTTGCCATTTTGATATGGACGGTTTAATTCCAAAAAAAACGATTGCTAGACTTTTCTTCTGTACTTTTCACCGATCTTCTCAATATCGGTGATGATGTGTGTCCCTTCTCAAATGAAATCTCATTAGGCTCTCCTGCAGCATAATCATATAAAACTATGGCTGAAGGTAAGGCTTGATGATTCGGCTTCATGAACTTCTTGTTGTTCAACAACATATTAATTAATCAATTAATCAATTAATCAATTAATCAATTAATCAATTAATCAATTAATCAATTAATCAATTAATCAATTAATAGCTTATTCTCAACGTTAAAAAACATTTAAAAAACGTTAAAAACGTTAAAAAACGTGGAGTATTAAAATGAAGGTGATTTGTTACCTCATCAGGATTTGAATCTACGCCATAACCAAAAACTTCATTATTTTATTTGATATTTCCTCGAAATCAATAAGTTCTACAAAATTTGCTATAAAAAATAGTTTATAAAAAAAATATTTTATTAATATGTTGAAAATAAATAACAGGGTCAATGAATAAATATAATAATAATAATAAATAAATAAATTCTTTTTCTCTAAATTTACCTGAGAATAATCCATTACGTGTACCATCTTCAGTAGTACATCCATCATCACCCACTTTAATAATGTTTCTCCTTCTTCTAATGTCAGTTCATTACCTTCGGTTAATTATTTAAAAATTAAAATTAAATTGGCGCTAAATTAAATTAGAGTCAAATGAGAGTAGAGTGATGTTATGAAATAATAAATACCTGCCTCAAAGCCAAAAAAAGCACGAGCCCAAAAGGTTTCAGCTGCCTATGAAGAATTTATGAAGAATTTATTTAAAAAGGATGGTTTGTATAACTAATACATACCTGAGTTGTTTCTGCTTCTTGTAAACGATAAATTTCCTCTTCTGCCTATAATAATATCAAATATTTTATTGACCAAAATTTTATGGAAAAAATACAAATGGGTACGGTATAAAAACATACTTTTCTTTGTTTTCGACGTTCTAATTCTTGTCTTTCATATTCTTCTTGTCCTCCCTCTTGTTGTTCACGTGCTTCTCGTTGTTCTCGTTCATATGATTCTTGTTCTCTTTCTTATTGTTTTTGTTCACATACTTCTTGTTGTTCTTGTTTTCACTCGAGGTCTCGAGTTGATGATTAATGATGGGGTGATCGATCATGGAATGATGTACACGCCAACGCTAGATAATCAAATAACATAATCAGCTAGATAATCAAATCACATCATTCATCGATCATCCTTTTATAAAATTGATAATAACAAAGATACAATATCTTATTATTCGAGAATTGAAGCAATTTCATTAGTTAAATAAAAAGGAAGGAATTATCTTTATGCTTATTTAAAAATATATATAAAATCAAATAACGATTCCCATTTGATCAATTATGAATCATGGTTTTTTGTAGAGTGGTAATTATTACGTTTTATTTTGTAATTTTTTTTTATGACGCGCACACACAAACACGATAATTACTAAGTGGTGGAATTCCAAAAAAATACGAAACATCCAAACACACATTGGTTATATTGAAAGAAGGACTCAATAGAAAACATTTTAAAGATAAAGAAAATGAATTTCGGTTTGTTTCTTTCGAGAATCAGCTTCGAAATTAATTATTCTTAATTAAAATCTTGTGCATTTTAATTTTAGATTCGAATTCGTATTTCTTTGCATTGAATAAAATTTGAAAATGTTTGTAACTATTGAACAAAATTGGGATTTGATTAAAAGTATAAATCTTCAATGAAGAAACCGTAACTAAATTTTTTTTATTGTATTGAAATTTATTTATATTGACTAATTAACCATTTTTGATATGATAGTGATAAACAAATAAAGAAATATTATATATTTTTGTCACTTGTTTAATTGGATTTACAAAATTTTTCTATTTTTAAGAAAATCGGATTCAACGTTTCATTTTGTTTCATTTCGTTTCATTTCATTTGCGTATTTATAAATGTTTTTCATTTAAACCCTTGTCAGATTATGCGATAGAATTTTCCAATAATTTTTTAAAAAAAAAGATATTGAATTCTTTAAATAGTATAGAAGATCTTTTCATTTTATTAAAAATAAATTCATTGGTTAAAATAATATTCATCGCGTTGATATGTGATTGGACGACAAAATCTCACTTGTCTTATTCAATAATTTCTGTCATTTTGGAAGAGTAAAAGAAAGAAATGTGAATTAAATAAATTATGAATATCTAAATTAAAATATATTTGCCTGATGTCACAACTCTACTTAAAGACAGCATTTATAATTCATTTTATAATTTATTTTGTAGTGAAGGAAAAAATTGTCAAAATATTTCTTAAGACAAAGGTAATAGATGATAAAAATTCAATAAATTCTTTTTTCGGCAATTTGTACTTAGGTTATAACACAAATAAGTGATAATAATAGAGGAATATGTCACAGTGATATGAAATGCACACAAAATCGCCAATTTATATTTTATTTATAATTTATTTTGTAGCAACGGAAAAAATAATCAAAAGACAAAGGTAATTGATAATAAAAACTTAATAATTTTTTTTTTTCGGCAGTTTGTGCTTAAGCTATAACGCAAATAAGTGGTAGTAATAGAGAAATATGTCGGAGTGACGTGAAATGCACTATACACATATCACCAATACAGTATATAATAAAATTTCAGGTTTTTTTTTTTTTTTTTCTAGACTGATACAACATTTTTTCAAGTCGATGTAAAAAAAAAAAAAAAGAGTCAAAATTCAAGAAAAACTATTATTAGCGTAGTGAAATGTCCCCATTAAAACTAAATAATGTTCTTGCATTGAGGTTACGAGGAGAAACTTATAAAAAGTTAGGAAAGTACAATGAAGCATCAACCGATTTTAGTAAAGCATTGGAAAAAGAACCAAACAACGCTCTTGTATTAAGATTACGAGGTGAAACTTATCAAAAGTTAAAAAAGTATAATGATGCATTAATAGATTTTAATAAATCATTAGAATTAGAACCAAATAATGCTCTTGTATTAAGATTGCGAGGAGTAATTTATCTAAAGTCAGAAAAGTATAATGAAGCATTAATAGATTTTAATAAATTATTAGAATTAAAACCAAATAATTATCTTGCATTAAGATTACGAGGAGAAACTTATCTAAAGTCAGAAAAATGTAACGAAGCATTAAAAGATTTTAATAAATTATTAGAATTAAATCCTAAGAATTATTTTGCATTAAGATTACGAGGAGAAGTTTATCAAAAGTTAGAAAAGTATAATGAAGCATTAATGGATTTTAATAAGACATTGAAAAAAGAACCAAATAATGTTATCGCATTAAGATCACGAGGGGAAACTTATCTAAAGTTAGAAAATTATAATGGAGCATTAATAGATTTTAATAATTTATTAAAAATTGAACCAGATAATGCCCCCACGTTAAGGTTACGAGGCGAAACTTATCAAAAGTTAAAAAAAGATAATGAAGCATTAACAGATTTTAATAACGCATTGTTAAAAGAACCAAACAATGCTCTTGCATTAAGATCACGAGTGGAAGCTTATCTAAATTTAAAAATGTATAATGAAGCATTACCAGATTTTAATAAATTATTAGAATTAGAACCAAATAATTCTCTTGCATTAGGATTACGAGGAGAAACTTATCTATTGCTAGAAAATAACAATGATGCATTAATAGATTTTAGTAAAGTATTGGAGAAAGAACCAAACAATGTTCTTGCATTAAGATTACGAGGTGAAACTTATCAAAAGTTAAAAAAGTATAATGAAGCATTAATAGATTTTAATAAATCATTAGAATTAGAACCAAATAATGCTCTTATATTAAGATTGCGAGGATTAACTTATCTAAAGTTAAAAAAGTATAATGAAGCAATAACAGATTTTAATAAATTATTAGAATTAGAACCAAATAATTATTTTGCATTAAGATTACGAGGAGAAGCTTATCGAAAGTTAGAAAAGTATAATAATGCATTAATAGATTTTAATAATTTATTAAAAATTGAACCAGATGATGCTCTTACATTAAGTTTACGAGGAGAAACTTGTCAAAAGTTAAAAAAGTATAATGAAGCATTAGTAAATTTTAGTAAAGCATTGAAAAACGAACCAAATAATGCTCTCGTATTAAGATCACGAGGGGAAACTTATCTAAAATTAAAAAAGTATAATGAAGCATTGAAAGACCTTAATAAATTATTAGAATTAGGACCTAATAATTATCTTACGAGGAGAAACTTATCAAAAGTTAGAAAAGAATCATAAAGAATCACCGGATTTTAGTAAAATATTCAAAAAAAGCTCTTGCATTAAGATCACAAGGAGAAACTTAATGAAGTATTAATAGATTTTAATAATAATGATTTTGATATTTTATTTAAATGATTTTAACATTTATTCTTTATTATACTACTTTCTGATCTTATTTACGTAAAAAAGTTTTTATGAATGTGAAAATCTAAGTACTTTTCGTTTCTTTTTTTTTTTTTTGATAACTTTATTTATGATGATTTTCTTGATAATTCAATTCCGTAAAATGATAGATGATTTGATTATTCTAAATAATTAATATTATTGCGGCAACAACAAAGAGGAATATAGAAAGGGAGAAAATAAGAGAATTAATTCCCAACTTATATCGATGATGAGATAGATTATATTTCTGAGTTTTAATAATAAAGTATAACATAAAAGTTAACTTATAATAAAAAAATAGCAATTGCTAAATCATAATTTTAATTTTAACGAAAAGGGTGGTCAAATATAAATGAATACGTATCGATAAAAAGTTTATTTACTAAATTTTAATATCAAGCGCAATAGTACAATATAATAATGCAAAAGGATAAATGAAATCAATGTATGTAATAATAAAATTTGAGAAATTATTTAAGTAATAATATGGTAAATATATATACAACATATATATGTGAGATAATAAAATGAATTAAATAATTCTGAATTAAAATTTTCATTATAAATTTATTTATTTTATTAATTCTACGCAATTAAAATAAAGATGTAATGTAATTTATAAAATGTTTTAATATTTACCTCTTGTTAATTTGAAAAATATTGTAAATTCACTTATAGCTTTCAGTTTTAGTGGAAAATTCTCATATATACGATATTGATATCGATAGTAAAATAAGTTTTATTATATAGAAGAAATTGTTAATAGCAATCTTTATTATGGACGATACATAAATTATGAGTACAAGTTAAATAATATCATAAAATATACATTATTATTAGATTTAGGACTATGCATCCAAAATCCTGTCCAAACCATGGGACATACTGCTTTTGTCGTCTTTCAGGAGTTTTTTACTCTGCAAGAATTGAATTTTAAATATTACCATTTTTTAATGAAACTATCTTTTGTTTTGTTCTATCGTTTATCGTATTATCTCAGAAAATCTTAAATAAATAAAAATATTTATTTTTGTGCGCATAACGCTTCATAATTAACAATAGAAAAACGATCTCATTATGGATTTTTCATATTTAAACTTAATAATAATATCAAATACTTTAAAAGAAATATTAAGCAATTTTAATTATTCGTTGAATTTATTTTTAATTCGTGATTCGCGATGAAAGAAATCTACATATAAGAACCATAATCTCATTCCGGAATAAGAATATCACAAGAACTATCAAATAAAAATCTATTTCTCCATTAAAGTATAAAAAGTAATGGTTCTGATTTAAATATATTTTTAGTTTCAAATGACAACGTCAATAAAATAAAGAGATATGCCTTTTTTTTTTTAACGATTAAATTAATTTTCACATAATTGTGAAAAGTCACCCCAAAATCCATTATATAAATCTTTTCCGTTTCAAGTGAATCAAAAAGGACTACGGGATTGTAAATGATCGAATGAACTTTATAAATATTGGCATCTTCTTATAAACGGTCGTAAAAAAATTAGGTTGTTAGTTTTTTGCATTTTTTAAAGTAAAATGTGTGGGTTGTCTTTTAAAGATAAATTAATTGGTAAATATAAAATTCAATTATATAAAAATATCTAATAAAATCTTGGTTACAAATGAATAAAAAAAATAAAAATCATAATAGGTGGACTGGTTTATATTTCGGATTGTTATTGCTACTCAGGCGTTAAACAAAGTATAAATGGTTATATCTGATTTTTTGTAACGTATCAATTGTCGTATTCTTTTTCTCATTTTGTAAAGAAAAAATGACTACGCAATTTTATGACCGTTTATCTTACGACCTAACTCAACTTTTTGAAAGCAGTGTCAATTGTGATGCCTCAATTGTAATTGGGGAAGAAACTCCCTTTACCAATTTTTATAATACCAATATATATAAAGTTCATTCAATTATTTTGCAATCCCGTAGTCCTTACTTTAAAAAGCAATTTGACGAAATTAATTATAATTCCAAAGTGTTAAAATTTCCGAATATTTCTGTTGAAGTATTTGATGTTATTATTGAGTAAGTATAAATATTATTTTTAGAAAATAATAATAGTAAATTTTATTTTAATCATAATTTTATTTTTATTTTATATGTTATTTAGATATATTTATGGTGGAAAATTTTCATTGGAAAAATTGGATAATTCAGTCATTTTTGATCTCTTGGTTGCTTCTAATGAACTTGAATTAAATGAATTAGTTGAACATCTCCAAAATTATCTTATCAACAATTGTGCTCCTTGGTTAAGGATAAAATTTACACAAATTTATCTTACGTGTTGTCAGGTCAAAAACCTCGAAATTATTAAAGACTTCTATAATGATATTATAGTCAAACAGCCTAATATTATCTTTGAATCTGAAGAATTTCATTCGATTCCTGAAGATGCATTAATATCTATTCTCAAAAAAGATGACTTACAACTAGAAGAATGTAAAATTTGGGAATATATAATTCAATGGGGAAAAGCAAAAAGTCCAATGTTACCTACTAATCTCAATGAATGGACAGATGACAACTTCTTAACCTTGAAAGAAACTTTAAAACGACTTCTCCCACACATTAGATATTTTAGCATTTCTGGAGAAGATTTTACGGAAAAGATTGACCCATACCGGCAAATTCTTGAACCTGAACTGTGGTTAGATATTAATACTAGAATAATGGCTCCTGACAAGCCAATCTCTTCAATTGAGTTACCTCCTCGAAAAATCTTAAGTGAAACATATCCATCTATAACTACAACAATTCCTTTATATAAAGAAAAATCAACTAATATTTGGGCGCGTGCTCTTTATAACTTTGATACCTGTATTTATTAATAACTATATCCTGAAATTCTACTTTAATTTGTTTAATTAATCTGTCTACTCTCTCTAATTTGTTGTCTAATTTTATTTGAATTGTTTAAATTATTAGTCAAGGACAATGAATTATCATTTAAAGAAGGTGAATTAATTAAAGACATTATAAAAGTTGAAGATAATTGGTGGCAAGGTACTAGTGAAGATGGAATACGTAGTGGGCTATTTCCAGGTAAAATAAAAAGAATTATTTATTATTTATTTATTGTTTATTATTATTAATTATTTTATTCATTTATTTATTCAGTTATTATTCTTTTATATTGTCGGCAACTACCAAAAAATACTAATGAATCATTATTAAAAATTATTTTAGCAAATTTTGTGAAATCTATTGATCCTAAATTAGTATTCCCAGAAAATTGCCAGGCCTTGCCTTCAGCTAAAGCATTATTTAATTATGCTGCAGAAGATCTTCTCGAGATTTCATTTTCGGAAGGACAAATCATTACCAATATTAAGTTTACATCAGATGATTGGTGGGAAGGTACAACAGAAAGTGGAGCCCTTGGATTTTTTCCAGGTTAGCTAAATCAATTTTCCTAATATTTCTAATTAATTAATTATTTTTGATTTACTCGAAAATTTAATATTAATTTATTATTTATATTACAGCAAATTATGTGGAATTGATTTAATAAAATAATACTATTAGTAAATATTAAATTACTTTCAATTTGATGATGTCATGTTTTGGTTTAATATAATTAAAAATATTTATTCTAGAATTTTTATTAGTTCCGGGGGATTTGTTATCGAACTAATTAATAGCTTTGAAGAATCAAAAAGTGCGACAGAATTTGAAGAAAATACGATTTTATGTAAATTATTTATTATTATAATATATTATTACAAAGAATATTGTACAGACATTTAAGATAAAATTTCCATAGATAAATATATTGATTCGTCATATGTAATTTTGGTGGTAAGTAAATATATATATATTTCTATTAGTATAATAATGTAGAATCTGAAATTCCGTAAATAAATATGTAATAAATTGACTTCTATTAATCCTAGAGACATAAAATTATTAAAATTAGATGCGTCTTGACGAGACAAATCCAATGAGTTAAATTTCACCTTTTTATGATCACAAGTTATCTTTAATAATTTGAAAACTTTTAAATAATATTTTTTCCAAATCGATTTTCAGTTTTTAGGAAAGTTATCATATTTCAACAATTGATTACATTTGGTGGTGTGGTGAATCGCCACATATATATATACGGATCACGAATTAAAGATAAAAATTTATCAACTGTAATTGGAAGAATTACTTTCTGAGGCAGCAAATTTAGAAAAACTCACCAAAAAAAAAAAAATACAATTATATTTTATAGCTTTCAATCCAAAAAAAAAAAAAAATAAATATTAAATAAAAATATGAAATAAAATTTTATTCACAATAAAAAATAAGTCAAGTGACAAAAGTTAAAATATACAATGAATATACAATGAATATAGCTAAACTATGAGATAAAATATATAAGATGTAAAAGATAAGTTAAGCTGCTTTTGTGAATTCAGGGAAATCAGCAACATTTTTAATTTTAATTTCTTTAATTGCAACATTCTTAAGATGACCGAATGTCTATTATAAATAAAGAAAATTAATAAATAAATTTAATGATATAATAAAAAATAATCAAAATAAATATTTATTTATAAATATTACTTACATCTCTGAGATTGCCATTTTTTAAAGGACGATTGAATGGATAACCCATTTCTTTTTTGTCAGGATATTTTCCAGCAAGTTCTTGAGATCCACAGAAAGATAAACTTCCACATTTCTTTCCAGCATCTATCTTATCTAATTCACCACTGCTAAGGAATACCACTAATTTAAATGGCATACCATTAGGATTTCCACGAGGTAACACTAAATGGAATGGCCAACCACATTCACAATAATCATTAAAACCAACATAATTTGGATTATTATCAACATCTTCAGCAATATCTTCAAATGTCTCTGGATCCGCATTGTCATCCAAATCTGCTGCTAGTTTCCTAGGTGGTTGAGCAACTACAGATGATCTATCACAATCACGTGCAATTACTGTTTTTGAGTGAGCCTTGAGAGTTTTTGGGAATTTATCGACCTCGATATAACGTTCAAATTGTTTTTCATATTGTGTTGGAACAATAAATACACGGAATGTTACGTCAACGTCCTATTTTAATTAGTAAATAATTAATTGATATAAATAAATATAATAAATATAAATAAATATAAATAAACATAATTAATTAATATTAATATAATTAATGATTTACATGATTAGATTTATTCTCTACGCGGAAGAAGTAATACCATTCTCTGGGGAACAAATATTGAATTTCCGTTTCTTGTTCTTCACCATCCAATTGTAATTTTCTAGTTTTTATCTTCGTTTCCAAACAACCAACATCGTGCTTAGAAAGATGATCAAAATGAGTTTCACCCCAAGTTTGAGCTGCCTTTTCGATATCAACGCGCTTAGTCAATCCTTTTAACGGATCAATTTTATCTTTAAATACAATAGCCACGTCTTGACTATGGATGACAACATTTGGAGCGTCATTATAATTGTTGGCAGGTAATTTACTTTGATAACGAACGAATAAATCATCAACATATTTATGCCATCTGTATAATAATTATAATAATAATAATGATTATGATTAATAATTAAAATAATAATAATAATAATAAATAATAATAATAATAAATAATAATAATTATAATTGACCTATAGAAAACTGGATCTCGGCATGCAGTTTTATTATCTCCGATTACTCCTCGGTTTCCTAAATATTTAAAAAATAAAATATATAATAAATATTAGATATTAAAAAAGTTATATCATATTATAAAATATATAATAATACAAACCTTCTTTAATAAAAGCAATCATTATATGCCCAATATTATGAAATGCTACATAATTAGTTCCCCATACAGCTGCATCATAATTTTTGTATGTTTGATCAGTAATACCCGCTTCAATAGCGACAGCCAATAAATCAAGACTATCGATACTTCCTTCGGTTTTGATGGATTTAGAATTGGTGAGATCATCAAAATATCCCTGATCAATGGTTTTAACCAATCTATCGCGAGCATCAGCGAGATTTTGAACAGTACTAAAATTAGGGACTTAAAATAATATACGTATATAATAAGTTAAAGAAAATTCTAGATAATTGACAATATATAATATATAATAATAAATAAAATAATTATATATTTACTATCTCTTAATGTTAAATTAGCTGCACGAGATCCAAATCCAGCTACATCTTCAGCATCATAACCTTCAGGAATTGGATCTAAATAATTTTCCAATGGAATAACTTCTGCCAACCCAACTGAAAGACGTTCTGCATAATATCTAATTTTATTTTAATAATTAAAATTTGAATGAATTATAAAATTTATTATTTCACCTAAATTTATTTATTTATTTATTTTAGTATATTATTTGTTACCTTGCCAAAATTTGTCTATGCATATAAATAAAAAGTTCTCCTTGTCTATCCTTCCATAAATATTTTTTTTCATCACCTACTGAATTAGGATCATCCACACGGTTTTTACCATAGACAAGATGCCATTTTTCATGATGTTCATTTAGATTTGGATCTTCTCTCCAATATTCAATTAAATCTTCTAGATTTTCTGGTGTCTTTCCCGGAACACCAATCATCGGTCCAGGTGCAAGGACAGTAGGTCTTCGTCTAGGTTTAGTACTTTTTGGTGCACGACGTATCAATGGGGGAACACGAAGTCTAAGTGCTTTAGCGTCAGGGTATGTACTAGCGAATTTCATTAACGTATGGTGGACCAATCTGGGATCTTTTGATTTTACATCTTTCTCCGCTTGATCTAATACACTTTTGACCGATGTACTTTTGTTTGCATCGGCAAGTCGATAATAACTTCTAAGAAGTTCATCTTCTACCAATGCATCTTTTTCACTAAACTATTATTTGATAAATTAACAATTGTAAATATTCATATTCAATAATTAATTAATAATTTCATTAATTCATAATTGAATTCATAATTGAATTCATAATTGAATTCATAATTTAATTCATAATTTAATTTATAATAAGGAAAGGTTTCTTACAGTACTCCAAGATGATTCAGTTGCAGGTTCATCCGCTCGTTCAAAAAGAATATCAGCAAATTTCTTTTGAAGAGGATTAGATTCATAAAGTTTTTTGAAATTCATTTTTTTTTTTCGATAAATAAATAGAATTTTTTGACAGTAAATTGTCAAATTATTATCGAAACGAATTTTTCATCATCTTTTTATAAGAAAATTTGGTAAAACAAATTTACTTGAAAAGTCTTTATTATTGATTATTGATAGACAATCTTCTATATATCTTCTATAGATAATCTTCTATATAATCTTCAATAGATAATTTTCCATCGATATTTTCTTAATTAATATAAACGATTAAAAAATTCCTTTATTATTGATTTTGATTTTTTCCATTGAAATTACTTGATTAATAAATATCTTTGTCGGCCAAATAAACATATTTCAATGAGGCATTTTTGCAAAAAAAAAAAAAAACCAACCAAAAAGCGTCATTTAGCCATTAAAGAGATATTTTAGCTAGAAGATAAAAATTTTCTCATGAATCCATGATTTTCATGTAGGGCTGGCTTAGTTGTTTTTTTGTGAAAATAATAATGGATCAGTATATGTATAAATTAAGAATTGAGTGATTTAATTCGATCCATTCTAAACTCCAAAAAATTCCAAATATGAATTTATCCTCAAATTTATAATGCAATGCATAATCGCAATAAACAAATGCGATTATTCTAAATTCCCAAATTTGAATTAATCTCAATAAATAAACTTTATTTATTTAAATAAAATTCATGTGTCAGTTTTAAAATTAATCAAATTAATTCTTTGTTTTTAATAAATCCAAAATAATCACCTTTGTTAACTTTAGATGATTTTTTTACCACTAATTTGGAAAATAAAATAAGACTCGACTCGATGCACTCATTATTTGTTGATAACGTAATAAAAACATTTGAAATTTTTTTTTTTTTTTTTGATTGATTTACTGTACATATTATGCTACACAGAATGTTCGAATCTCGGGAAACATCCTTCTGGGCTGGGCAATGATATATAAAAAAATAATTATTAAATACAAAAGAATATTGCATTTTGTAGCAAGGAAAATTCGTAGAAGAAAAATGTGAAATATCTAAGTGAATATCCAAATAGAAGATGAAGAAAATTTCTAATATTTATTGTTTTTTTTTTTTTTTTTTTTTGATTTTTTATTTCATTTTAATAATATCCAATACATTAAAATAGAAATTTTATTTCGCATTAGAAAACTGAATAGTATGTGAAATACCATCGTTAAACAATCATTTTATTCTAAAAGAAAGATTATTTGATATTTCTTTCGCGTGTTAATACTTAATTAAATAAAAAATAAATGTATCTTTATTTTTAAAATAAGTGAATAAAATATTATTAAAAAATAATCGAATGTCTTATGCTTATTAATATTATATATATATTATAACAAAAAATACATTTTACTTTAAACCATTTCTTGATAAAATTGTGAAAACCACATTCTCTTCAACTGAAAATAAAAATTCATGAGAAACATCTACGAAGAGGAGATTAATAAATTCATTAGGACAAATTGATTTAGAATATGTTGAATTAACCATGTCAAAAAAACAGTTTTTCAAATTGTCTTCTAAAAGTAAAACACAAATCACTTGGACAATTATAAATAGCATCATTAAAAATTCCTCACCGCCTTACTTAAAATGGAAATTTCAAATTTGCAGTTTTCAATGAAAATACAAAATTATTTTCGGTCTTTTTAAATTGATCATTATTATTAAATATCCAACTCACGGGATTATACCATCCCAGAATTTCTCCCGTACCTTCGATCTCAAAACAATAACTATGTTAGAAACTTTATCACAAATATTATAAATAAATTCATATGAATTATTTTTAATGTAAAGAGTTTCTTTTTTTATCAATCCATGATGAAATTTCTAGTGCACGTTCATCAGTGATAATATTAGAAGGCAAAGGAGTTGATATAATTCTAGACGGAAGTGTCGTATTTAAAGTATTTCGAGATGGTAACTCAAAAGGTCATGATTTTAGAAGTGATGTCTAAAAAAGTTTATTTTCAATTTTCAAGAAGTTGTTGGTATGGAAATATCTTTTTACCACATCTTCACCAGAAATGCTGAAATATCGAATGTGCGGAAGACATTGACATTGATTATTCAAAGATTAAGAAATTATCACTTGTCCATTCGCTTTTCGTCGTTGAATTATACATTACTTGCTCTAGTTACCAATCATCTTGTTTGAGTATAGAAATTAATGCATCTTCAAGGAGAAGGAGAGAATGAAAATTTTCTGACTTAAAGATAGTCTTAGGATGTTTATTATTACAGAAGTCTTGAATAATTTCAAGGTTTTTGACTTAATAATCTGTTCGATAAATTTGAGCAAAATTTAGCCTTAACCAAGAAGTGCACAATTGTTGATAAGATAATTTTGGAGATATTATTACTAGAATTTCGTTCCAATTAATAAATAAATAAATTTTTAAAAAATAAATCTAATTAGAAATATATAATTTATATGTTCGATTCGACTAATTCACCCAATTCAAGTTCGTCAGAAACAATCAAGAGATCAAAAATGACCGAATTTTCCAATTTTACCAATGAAAATTTTCCATCATAAATATTTTTTTTTAACCAACGAAAGATGTTTATTATATTGAAAAAATAAATATACAATTTATAGTACAAAAAGGAATTAGCTAAAATTAAAATAATTTACGATTCGGCCATCGTTGCCTGATAAAAACAGGAAACTGATTAGCCAAGGCCCTGTCAGTTGTTTTTATAATATCGTGAAATCCCTTTTACGCTAAAACCCTTCAAAAACTTTAGATATAACCACTTCTGAGCATAAAACATCCATCATAAATATATCTAAAAAAATAACATTTAAACTTTGTTCGTGCATCATTTAAAAATTACAGATAGCACAAATTTTGATAAGATTAGATAAGATCATCTCATATTTTAAATAACACTCAACTCCTAAACAATTAACATATTAAACAGATGATTTTCGGAAGAATTAGTGCTTGGTTGGTTTCTATTATAAATAGATTATTCAGAACAAACATTGGACTATTACCGTCATCAAATCAAAATGCAGAGCAACCAATGTGGGAACGAACAATTCCTACTACCAAACAAGTATACCTGTCTAGGTAAAATAAGAATATAAATTATTGTATGTGTAAAAAAAAAAATAAAAATGAGGATACTATTATTATTATTATTATTATATTATTTAAATAAACTATATCTTGATTTTTGTAATTCAATTATTTCTGAAATAACAGAGTTACGATGACAGAAGTAGTATTACCTTCTCACGCGGATACTAGAGGATTTATATATGGAGGAGTGGTTTTAGGTTGGATCGATTTGGCAGCAGGCATTTCTGCAAAAAAACATGCGATTCATCCTTGCGTAAGTTTTATTAAATTATAAAAAATATTCTAATTACAATTGTAATAATAAAATATAAATATTTAATAGGTTACAAGAAGTGTCGATGCAGTTCATTTCATGCATCCAATATTAGTAGGAGATTTTGTTATAATTCGAGCGAATGTAAATAAAGCGTGGAATACTTCAATGGAAGTTGGTGTACGAGTTGAAACTGAAAATCCATTGACTGGGAAACGAAAATATTGTTGTCACGGTAAAAATTTCTAATATTATAAAAATAAATATATAAAAATATTTTATCTAACAATAATAATAGAATAATTATTTTACTTTATACTTATTAAACTTATTAATAATTCTTTATTATAGCTTATTTAACATTTGTAGCACTTACACCGAAAGATAATATACAAATTCCCGGATCTTCATCAAAAATTCCATCAAGATATCAAAATGTTAAAGTAAAAGTACCACAAATCGTTTCCAGTACATCAATTGAAAAACAACGTTATGAATTAGCTGAAGAACGTCGACAAACGCGATTAGCACATTTTTTACATGAAGATGAAAGAGGGGATAGAGAACAAAACAAATTAGCACACGTTAGAGAACTTATGAAAACGTGGTCAGAATATAGTAATACAGAAACGAAGAGTAATGCAGAAATTCCACCATTATTACAAGAAGCAGAAGTATATGAAGAGGGAGGAGGAGAAGAAAATAATGATCCCGCCAAATTATTTTTAAATAAAAGAAGAAGAAGATCAACATTAAAAGGGATATTTCCGAATCAACCCGAACAAAAATTCATTTCAGAAAGTTTTGCCGAAGTAGTGGAAACTGTATTACCTCAGCATGCTAATACATTACAGGTTTAGTTATTAAATATTTATTATTTTATATATATAATTCTATATAATATATAATAATTACTATATATTTCAGATTACATTTGGTGGTCAAATTATGAGATGGATGGAACAAAGTGCTCTTGTAAGTGCCGCAAGACATTCTAGAAGATTTCTTTTAATGGCTAGGTATATTATTTATATTATTTATTTATATTACTTATATTATTTGTATTATTTATATTATTTATATTATATTATTTAATATTTATATTATTCATTATTTACCTTATTTAATATTTATAACATCTAAAATTTATGTATTTAGTATTGATTCTTTACAATTTATTAAACCAACTTATGTGGGTGATTGTAAGAATTTTTAAATTTTTTGTGGTTAGTGGTTATTTCATTTCTTTAAAATAATTTTTTATTCCTTTCTCTATTCTTTCTTCATTCTTTCTATTTTTTTCCTCACTCTTTAGGCGTTACAGTTCGCTCTGTTGTATCATGCACATTTCATTCCAGTCTAGAAGTTTATTGTTCTGTAGAAGCTGGTAATTTATTTTATTTTTAATTATTTATTAATTACAGTATATTTATTAATTATTTATTAATTATTTATTAATTATTTATTAATTATTAATTAATTATTAATTATTTTTATTAATTATTTATCGTTAATTATTTTTTATTAATTATTTATTAATTATTTTTGTTATTATTAATTTTTATTATTTAGAGAATTTGATGACTGGTGAAAGGTTTTTCGCAAATGATGGATTTTTTACAATGGGTAGATAAATTATACTGTTATAATTTAATTATTATTTTTAATTATTATTTTTTATTTTTATTTTTTATTTTATTTATTTTTTTATTTTATTTTATTTTATTATAGTTGCCGTTGATTTCGAAAATTCACCAACACCAGTTCCTCGAGCTATTCCTGATGATGAACAAGAAAAAGAATTATTTGCTGGAGCAGAATTAAGACGAAAGCGCAGACTTGGACAACGTAGAGAATTAATCCAAAAGGAATTATCGGCACACCCTGAAGAATTTGAACAAGTAAATAATTATTGATTGATTATTGTTTAATCATATTTTCGTTTTATTTATTTATTTATTTATTTATTTTATAGTTTAAAAATAAATCTGAACAAATCTGACATAAATTTGGGAATAACTATAATTTTATTTTAAAATGTTTATAATGTTGAATATAATATACAAAGTAGATATGTTAATGTTCTATGTATTGTGTATATGTTATTTTTTTTCTTTATATATATATATATAAATATTTTTTATACAATTTATATTAATTATTTTTAGTATCAAATATATAATCTATATATTGTTCATATATTGTTTATAATTTTTTTTATTTATAACTAATGCTATATAATTATGGTATATTCGGTATACTAGGTGTAAGAGATAAACTTGTAGTAGAAATGCTATAAATAGATGAAATATCACTTTCACTACCTTCACTTGACCATATGGAATTTGTATTAATTAATATTTTATTTGTCTCCATTTTTTCATCATTTACATCTTTAGTATATTCATCAATTATTTCATTCTCTATATGACCAAATAATTCTGATGAACCTAATGCTTGTAATTGATGATGATGATTATTGCGATTATTATCATCATTAAATTCACTTTCTGTTATTATTCCTATTTCACCTTGAACACTATTTACCAAATTTATTATATTTACTAAATTTATCCTATTCACCTTATCATAATTATTAATATATTGTTGTGATGGATGTGATTGTTTATCATTAAGTTTTCTCATTCGTGTTACACCCTGTATAACATTAATAGCTTTCTTCAAGACAGATTTATTACTATTATTATTATTATTATTATTATTATATGGTTTCCAATTATAATGATTAAATTCATTATTGAATTCATCATTTAATTCGTCATCCTTTAATTCTTCGTCATTCAATCCATCACATTTAAACCATGGATGTTGAAGTGCATCATGAGCAGTAATTCTTTTATCAGGATTATATTCTAACATTTTATTAATTAAATCTTTCGCTTCATCACTTATGTCTGACCAATAATCTTCATCAAAATGATATACACCTTTTAATATACTGTCAAATAATGCTTTTTGATTTTCCCCCCAAAATGGTGTATATCCACATAAAACTGTATAAAGGATTACTCCAATACTCCAAATATCTACAGATTTTCCATATCCATTTTGGGTTAATACTTCTGGTGCCACATATCCTGGTGTACCACAAGCTGTCATCAAAATATCATCATGATGTTTTAATATTTTCGATAGACCAAAATCGGTAATCTTTAATGTTGAGAACTCGGATTTATCACTAAATAATAGATTCTCTGGTTTTAAATCACGATGAGCGATCTATAAATAAAATAAAAAGTAAAAATAATAAGGTAAAGTAAGTAAATAGTAAATAGTAAATAAATAATAATAAAGTAAGTAAATAAATAAATAAATAAGATAACTTACATCACGATCGTGTAAATATTTAACTCCTGATAAAACCTGTTCAATTAAATTTGCTGCATCCTTTTCGGTATAACTTCCTCTTTGTAGTAATTGATTATATAATTCACCACCAAGTGCCAAGTCGGTAATAATATAGACCGCATCTTTGGTTTCGTAAAGATCATGTAATGAGACAATATTTGGATGATTTACTTGTTTCAAAACATCCAATTCTGTAGTTAACATTTGTTCTTTGCCTAATGAATATAATAATAATAAATAGATAAATTATTATTAGTATTAGTAATTATTATTATCATAATTTTTTTTAGTAAATTATTATTATCATATTTACCTTTTAAGCCTTTTTTCAAAATAATTTTCAAGGCATAATTAACTCCGGTACGTCTATCTGTGCATTCCTTTACTACCGCAAATGATCCTCTTCCGAGAACCTTTTTTGATACACTATAATGTTTTTCTAATAATGATGGTTCTTTAGGTAAATATTCTCGTTTCGTTTTTCGATTTGATATATTATTATCTTCTGTAACTCGTAAATTTGGTGAATTTTTATTTTCCGTTTTATTATTATTATTATTGTTGTTGTTGTGTTTGTTGTTATTATTATTATTGTTTTTATTTTTATTTTGTATAGAATGAGTATTTGAGTTATCTCGTTCTCGTTTAAAGATACTATTCAGAATTTTTTGTATTGTCGACATTTTTTTTTTGAAAAAAAAAATATATATATGATTTGTTGATTATTATTATTAATTCTAGTAAAAGAGATGTAAAGATTTTTTTTTTTTTAAAAACACGATAACGACAACCCCTTTATAACTTTATTTTTTTTTTTTGTAATTGCTACACGAATATAAATAATCACTAATTTAGAAAGTAATATAATTTGTTCTCAATTACAAATCGGAATTCTAATCGTAAAACGGAAATGATTACCAACGCAGTTTCAAACGGAAAAATTATCCTGTTAAGTGGCTTAAATGGCTCATGTATGGCTTATATGAACCATTTTTTTTTCTTCGCTTTACAGTAAACATGAATGGATGCAGTCATTCATAAATGTTTACTGCGAGTATGAATGAAAGAAATTCTTTTACATAAATTATATATTAAATTATGTAACAGAAATAAAATAAAATAAAAAAACTAAAAGAAATAATAAAAATAAAAATTCGATATCGTGTTAAAAATTAATATAGTCAGCTTAGAATACTAACGTGGAATGTAATAGTAAAAATTCGAGTTATTAAATATTGTCAACAGAAAATTCTATTAATTAATTTTTAAAATTTGGACTATAAATAGATAATCCTAATAATAGAAATTACTTCTACGGAATAATTCATAATTATCACGTTATTACTGTATATGGTATACACGACACACTGTAACTTCATTTGGGGAAAGTCGAATGACCGCAATTTATCATTTTTTTTTGCACCACCTTTTTACTTTGTTACATAATAATTAAGGTCATTTGATAAAAAGAGTACTATAAAAAGATTGGACTTTTACTAATTTCTGATGATCATTTTGTCAGGAGCATAGCACAAGGACATTAAAACTTATCCTGCGCTTATGACGAAAAATAGTCTTAAATTAGATCACAATTAATAATCAAAAAAAAAACTATTTAAAACTTCTGTAATAATATTATAACTAAAACGATCTAATATTATTTTTAGTCTGAAAATTTTCATTCTCTCCCTGAAGATGAATTAATACCTATTCTCAAACGAGATGACTTGCAATTAGAAGAAGGTAAAATTTATGAATTTATAATTCAATAGAGAAAAGCAAAACTTTCCCTAACTGATCTTAAAGAATAGACAGGTGATAATATCTTAACTCTGAAAGAAATTTTGAACCGATGTCTCTAGATATTTCGGCATTTCTGGGGAAGATTTTTATGAAAAGATTAATTACCTCGTAAGATTTTAAATACAACACTTCCAACTAAAATTACCCCAATTCTTTATTTTCTAATATTATTACTGATAGTAAAGAAACTCCATATATTGAAAATAATCCATATGAATTTAACGTTAAAAATATTTATGATGTTTGTGATAAAATATCAAGTGAAACGAGAAAAAAATCTGGGTCTCGGCTAAATTTTTTTGGGAATGAATTACCGTGGGTATAATTAAAGTCAATGAAAAATGAATTATCGTGGGTATAATTAAAGTCAATGAAAAATGACCGCAGATATGTAAAATTCCATTTCAAGTAAGAGTGGTGACAAATTCTAACTAATTATTCAAAGCATTCGAAATTGCGTTCGGCCCTGTTTTATATTTAAAAAATGTCCTGGCCTCTTTAGTTCAGCGCCTACATGCCGCCCAAATTCACAATGGGATTAGCAAAATGATTTTTCCTTTTTTGAATTTGGGCGGCATTATACGGTTTCTCTATCCCTTAAACGGTAGTGACGTCACAAGTTACTAATAAATGCGCCCGCAATTCACATGATTTACCGTTTAAGGGATAATTTTCAAATAAAGTTCATCGTGAACTTTACTATTTTTAAATTAATTCATATTAATCATTCAATTTATATTTATAAAATTCTATTATTAATAAATAGCAGTGAAAGAAATTATTTGCGCAGAATTTTTCTTACGACATAAATGAAGAATTTTAAAGTTGAAATTTTTATAATAAATATTACAGATTATAAATTATATGTGTTCCCTGAAAATCATTAAAATAAAACAATTACACAGAATAACTACATACAGAATTCAGTCATGGATGTGATCCGGTAAATCCGAAAGATTTTCTGTAGTAACGCATAACTTTGTCTTACAAATAAAGATCAAAAATAATACTAAGTAACCTTCTATTGAGAAAAAACGCTCGTTTATAGTTCGTACGAAAATTCAAAATTAAAAGGATTATAATTCTCAAATTTCAATAAATGCGCAGATTGACGGATTGGATCCGCGGATTGACGGATGGACTGATGATCTACGGACTGTTGGATGAGATTGAGATTGAAATTTTGATGGACGGATCATCAAAGATCGAAACCTTTTTACTAAAGAGATTATCCATATCGAACCTTCTTTTTACTAAAGAGAATTATAAACAGGAAAAACTTTGTTCTTATAAAAATTTATTCATTTATCCGTGATCTAGGGATACCAAAATCACGTGATTATTTTATTATTATACCATTATTATACCATAACCATACAATAACCTGGTTATTATACCAATTATAATACCGTATAATTACCATCCCTAGTCATTTCATATGGATTTTCACTAGATAATGTGACTTGAAATATATAAAGAAAGCCATCCGACGGAGAAAATATCCTTAAATCGAAGGTGGTTACATTTTCATGAACAATTTCCTTTCCGTTAGAATAAGCTGTCTAAGCATCTTTCATTACTTAATAAACAACCAATATTAATTAATTATTTTATTTAATTTGGTGACAAAAAAAAAAGAAAATTGTTACTATTAACTAAAAATCGGAGTGAGGCCTGTAAAGTATTTGATAATGTGTATGGCTGAGATTATCATGTTTTTGAATAATTCCCATTTTTTTTCGATCATGAAATTCACCGAGTTTAAGTTGAAAAAAATTTTCAAAATTCTATCGATTGCATAATAATATAAAACCATCATCAGTAACTCTCAAAATAGGTTAATTAAAATAAACAAGGTGATTTATAAGAACCTACGATAATATGATTAAACTCGGAATGGTTTCTTTATTAGAGTAGTTGAAAATTATAACATATTCACAGCCGATTGACCAGAATTAACCTTAACTTTGGCCAGTTTTAATCTGACGCATCGATCTGAAGCACAAAGTAATTTTATAAAACCTATCGATTATTTTTTCATGTGTACAGATATCATATATATAAATATTTGTTTATTTTGAATAAAATCTTTCTTTATGTTGACCAACTGCTATTTTTAACACTTTATTTCATTTCATTGCCTCCTAGATCCGAGAATATTGCCTTTTACATCCATCATTTGTATATAAATTAATGTTTCGATGTTTTAATGCTTGTAACAAAACAATGTCATTGTAACGTAATATGTAAATGTAAGCAATATAAAGATTTGTTTTTTAAATTACATTTTATATACACATTTTCTGACATTTAAAATATTTCCAGGATGAAGATCGTGATGTATTATATCATATTTTTTGAAATCACATGCTAATTGTTGTAAAAAATATGATTTCTTTTTCAAATAATCTAAATAATCTAAATTATACATTCTAAAACCATAATATATTCGTTCGTTTCTGGATCTTGTGTAATTTCATAAATTCGAATTGAACACCATTCACTCCTTGTTCTTAAGTGAATTTCTATCTAAATAATATACATATTTTATTTTATAGTTTATGAGATGGTTACTGGTTTTTGCACCGTACCATGATATTCTAGGCAAATATGTAATGGTTTACGACCAAAAATTTCATTTCATATTCCAAAATTAATACTTGATCAATTATGAGATGTTGGGATGCTCGAGTTACTCATCGACCCACTTTTAAAGAATTGGATGATGAATTAAAGAAATATAGGAATTTCCTATATAAAGCTCTCAATCGGTTTGGTTCAAACCGAAACCGAAACCAAAAATTTCGGTTTATGTATTAATTTTGATCATCATGGTTCACCATCTATTTTTATAAAGATCTAGATTTTTTTAACTGGATTATTTTTATAAGTGATGCTGAATCAGAAAATTCTCAAGAAAACATAGAAAATAATGAACCATCAGTTTCAAATATATCAAGAGAAACCAGTAATAGTAATTTAACAGAAGCAAGCAGTAGCAATTTCACAGTAATTGATAATAATAGTGATAATAGCAATAATAAAAAAAAAGCTTCTATCTATCAGTTTTTTACTTTAAATAAAGAAGAAAATAAATACCATTGTATTTGCTTTTAAAATTAATTTTTAATAGTTTATTATATAACTTACAAAAATTTATTTTATAATTTTAAAATTAATTTTAATTAATTTTGTATCTATTTTCATTAATAAATATGTAATCTTGACTGAATTGTAATGAATAAAATATAATGATAAGAATATTAAAATATAAGGTGGTGATCATATTTAAACCGAAAAAAACTGGTTCGGTTCGGTTTCGGTTCAGTTCGGTTTGAGTGTTTGGTTCTCGGTTTTACTGCTAAACCGAACCGAACCGTTGAGAGCTTTACACACAATCATTATAGTTATATTGTTAGAATTTATTTTTATTTCATTTTAACTTTATTTTTTTTACTTGAGAAGAAACGTAATATCAAATATAATCTAAGTCAGGACAGTTAAGCAACTTATAAAAGTATAAAACCTAATTAGTAATCGTATTATAAAACCAAGCGTCACACAATCATTATAGTTATATTATTATACTTTATTTATATTTTATTTATAACTTTATTTTTTTACTTGATGAGAAGAATGATGTAATATCAAATACATAATCTAAGTCAGGACAGTTAAATTATATTTAGTAAATTAAGCAACTTATAAAAGTATAAAACCTAATTAATAATCGTATTATAAAACCAAGCGTCACACAATCATTATAGTTATATTATTATACTTTATTTATATTTTATTTATAAC